AATACCACTTCTAATTCTTTCTTCATATCTCGAACCAAAATTGAGTACTGCCCATTATTAAACCTTTTCAATTCAAAAATATAGATTATTATTCTCTTCCAAGCAGCTGAAAAAATTTTATATATATATAGTTAATTGTGTGCCCAACATATTCTTTATTTTGGATTGATAGAAAGTGGTGAGATAAACTTCATTTATAAATTCAAATATCGACCGTACGACCCAAATTGTTTGCCACATGAGTCGTTGAAAAAAGAGACCAAATCGAAAATTTTATCAAAATTTGATCAATTCGATTCAGAACATAAGTTATTTTTTTTTTTTTAATTTGTCCCTTTTCTCAGCGCTCATCCTAATTCTATGTCAGTAAGAGTGGTATGATAACAAAATTTCAAAGGCACAGCAGGATAAAAATTTTCTGTTCTGGCGTACCCAAAATATTTTAATATATCTATACAAATCGTGGATTCCAAATTAAATTAAACATAAATATTTAAAGGAGAAATTTGTTGCTAAAAAAATAATAAAAAATGACCTCTTAAAAACAATTAAACAAATTTTTGGGAGTATGCAATGAAACCTTATGGATAAAAGAGCTACAATACCAACTCCAACTAAAATTTTTTTTTTGTCACAATATTCGAAAAAATTCATGCAAATATGAATAGTGTTAAAATCGTTGCAACGTCGTCGCGAAAACATATCGCGAGATTTTTTAATGCTTCTAAAAATACGTTATACATTCTTACTTGGGAACAAAACTCATCGTTACGGACCATAAGATTTACCATGTTCTCAATACAAACGACCCATTACTTTTGTATTTCAAATGTTAAATAAAGTCTTAACAAAGGGTTTTTTTAAGTATAGATTTAAGTTAGATTTTATAATATAATTTTAAGTTTTTATTTAAAAGGCTATTACAGAACGCAAGTGATAGGGATAATAAACTTGTATATTTAAATTCTTTACAACATATCAGAAAAAGAAACTCATATAGTGGGTTGAGGTAAAGATTTCACCCTTTAAACGTTCACTACATTTTTTTTTTTTTTTTTTTTTTAGCGGCAGGCTTTTCTATCCAACCCATTTTTGAAATTTATACTTAGAATAAATGTGTCATAATATAAAATGTTTTGGTAGCAGTAAACTTGTATAGGATCTTTGTAGAGGAATAATATTTATTTGATTGAAAACATTAATGCATATGATTTTAGTTATAATTACTGTATATGATAGTACAAATTCGTCGCTTAGATTTAACAATAAGAGCAGCGTATATAAGCATATCATAACCGTATAACCCCGCCTTTTTGATGATCATTGTCTTCTATGTGATTTAAAAAATATACTTTACCTTAAGCCTATTATCGACGTAAAGGCTTGTTGGAATTCAACATATTATATGTTGAAACGTTTAGAACAACTTGAACCAGCATTAGTTTTATTTGCTGCTGGTATTTAAATTTAAATAATATTTTATATATATGTAAAAAGTGTAAAAAGAAAGATTACATCAGCATTGGGAATAATTCCCTGAGCTTATTTGGCGGACGCTTGATCACGTGATAATGACTTGATTGTGATTGATTGATTCAAACAAAAAGATAGTGTTTTTGACAGTCGTTTCACCGTATATAAATGAGCATGATTTTATTTATTAGTAAATAAAAAAAAATTGATTGGAAGAAATGTAAACGAATGTAATTATAAGTAGACGCGTAAAAAAATTGTATATATATTCTCGATAATTAACATTAATATGTTTGTTCGTCATAAATGACTTGTATTATTAGCTTCTTTTTTTTTTATTAGATGTCTATATATAAAAAAAATAACTTGGAAAAAATTCAGTTCTATTAATTTTATGAAGAAAACGAGAAAATTGTAAAATAAATAAATAAATTAAATTAATTAATCTAAATGATAAAACTTTGGATACTATTCACACCCATGTTCTATATGATGAAATCCATTGCTTACACCGTTGCTATTGCTACCATTACCATTAGTCCTTCCGGATATTCTATGATAATCCTCATTTGTCGTTTGATTCTCCGATCTTAATCCATTTTGAATTTGATTATTCTTCTCTAAATATTCTAATATACCCTCACCAATCGTTTCAACTTCTTTAACTAACTCATCTAAATGATGTTCATTAATAGAAGGCGCATTCATCACCACCCTAAAAAATAAAGGTAATTCCCTTCCATTCAATTCAAAAGGAGAGTAATCGAACAAGAATCTACCACGTTCCTGTAATATTTTATGAATGCCTTTGGTAACCAATGACAACTTTTCTTTCCATATTTGATATTTATTGATTTCTATTTCTCGTTCCTCTTGACCGTAAACTTTCATTCCTTTTGGTATATACCAAAAACATATCTGCAAACTTGGTGGAGTTTCTAGTACCATTTTAAATCTATCATTGTTTTTTATTAAATTAGTTAAATATCCTGCCATTGAAAATGCGTGTTCTATCCTTTGCTTATATCCCATTATACCGAAGATTTTCCATCCTATAAATAATTTTATCGCATCAGGTCTTCTACCACATCCAACTGTACCATCCCCTAAATCATATTTATTATCATGAAATAAATATTTTGCTCCTAGTGAATTTGATTGTTGAAATATTTGTCGATCTGATGCTAGCAAGAATGAACATTGTAATGGTGTCCCAAGTAATTTATGTGGATTTAGAACAAATGTATCGGCCTTACATTTGGCGCATTAATCAATAAAAAAAAAAAAAAATCATAAATTAGTTACAATAAAAAAAAATTCAAATAATAATAATATTTTTTTTTTAATAACAAACCAAAGATGAACCGTCAATCAAGTGTTTGTGTTTCTCCGAAAATATGAGACTCCCACCCCATGATCCATCAACATGAAACCATAAATTATATCGTTTAGCGATTTTCCCGATCTCTCTTAGTGGATCAAATGCTCCCTAATATGAAAAAGTAATGTTATGTTAAATTCACGTAAATATCTGAGATCCAGGATTTTCCATCTTACAAATCTTTTCGTACCAAAACAGTAGTTCCAGCAGTCGCATTAACAAAAAATGGGGTTTCTTTTCTTTTCAATGATTGTAGAATTGATCGTTCTAGAAACAATCAAATTTATAATTAAATCCATAGAATTCCTAGAGAAGTAATTTTTCTCTTCGCAGTACATATGCTTACCTAATTCATCAGGTCGCATTCTTCCTTGATCATCATAAGGTACTTTAACGATACTATCGATTCCTAAACCTAGTGCCATAGCAGTTTTCTCAATGGAATAATGTCCCGCATCAGAAGTAAATAACATTAATCTTTTACCAAAATTATAATACCCTTTAGTTTTTATCTCGGGAAACATGTGATTTCTTGCTGTCAGTATTGCAAGTTGATTTGAAAATGCACCTCCTGGACACGTTATTCCTCCTGATTTCTAAAAAAAACGAAAAAAAAATAATATTTGTTTAATACGAATTTATTAAATTACATAAAAAATCTTGAAAGACTTTTTTTATTTTTAACGTCGTTACCTCACCCATTCCTAATAATCTTGCCAGTTTCTCCGAAACATGATTTTCCATTAACGTCAGTACCGGAGAAACGTGATAAACGTGTGAATTTGCGTTTAAGAATGTTATCAACATTTCCGTGATAATCCCAACAGGATTGGTTCCTGCGTATAATTTATCCATAAACTTTGGATTCCATGTATTGACACTATAACGTAAGACATTATGCAACAATGGCATTAACCCAGAAATACCAACTCCCGTATATGTCAAATCTAGATCTATCAATGTTTTTAATTCATCTGGTGGTTTATATTCTACCACTAACGCACCGGGCTTTCGACTTTCATTTACGTCTAAAGGATAAATGTATTTTTCGTAAGGAATGAATAAGAACGATAAAGGGGATGTAATTGTACTTACATTCTACCATTAAATCTTTCATCTGCGAAACTAATTGATCGAGTTCTACAGCATCACTACATAGATCATCGAAAATATCTTGTGTTGGTTCTTTTTGTGGTTTCATGCTATTCAAATAATTAAAAGATTATGAATCAAATTGCTCTTAGTATTAAAAATTATTAATCAATTAACTGATTTATAAATTGTAAAGTCAACTGCAAGGTTGAAACGAGTTTTTTTTTTTTGATCAAAATGATGACAATTTTTTTTTTTTTTTTTTTTTTGAATTCGTATTTATAAGCAAAATCATAATGATTATCGTCAAATAGTTGCACATGATTTAGCCGAATTTTTTTTTCCGGTTGATCGGGAATTTTTTTTTATATACCCATAAACTAAATTGTGCGTAATTTGTGTAATTAAAATTTGAAATCCCAAATAATGCAAAACAATTTATCTTACATGACATGGTTGCATATTACAAAATTTTTTTTATTACGTATACGTGTCATTTAACTATATAATTAGTATATTATTATCTCATCTATAAATAATTCATTAATTTAATGATCTAAAATGTATAAAGATTAGCTGGTTACACAATTAACATAATCGCTCTTAGTGTTACTATACAAGGCCGTTAACGTTAAATTTTTTTTTTTGATTTTAAAGTAAACTTTTATGTATAATACACTGGAGGGGTCATTATTACAGGAGGGTATTATAGAGCGCGCTTTACGGTAGTTTTATCAATTAGTGATTAGATAAACCTATAGAATTTTTTTAAAATTTGATATTTTGACTAAATCTAATAATATATAAAGCTAATAAAGGTAACGTTAAAATAAAAAGATGGATCCATTAAATAGATCGAGATGATATTATTATGTTCTAAAATTTATATATTTGATATAAAAAAAATTGAGTCGACATTAATGGAGCTAACTAGAAGAACTTTCATCAATCTTCGCCCACGATGAAGAGTTTATTTGAACAAACAATTTCAAAAAAAAAAAAATAATAAATAAAACAAAATATCGCAACTTCCGCGGAAAACTTCAAAATAATCTTAGAATACTCTGGGTTTAATTCTAACTTTGAGTTCATCACAATGCCTAATAATAGAGTAGTGAGTTTTCAAAGGAGCGTTCTTATCAACCAATTCGATATCATATTTTCGATACATCAATACCATGAACGCTTTCAATTCCATCATTGCTAAATTTCGACCCTGCCCAACAAATAAATAAATGAAGAAATGATCATCATTAGAATTCGGACGAAATTTTTTTTTTTTAAAAAAAAAAAAATGAAAAATCACAGAAAAAGTTGACTTACCGGACACATTCTGATACCACCTCCAAATTGAAAATTCATAGATTTTTCTCGATCGTTCAAGAAACGATCAGGATTAAATATTTCAGGTTTAGACCAATGAGCCTCGTGCATATTCATACCATAGTGATGTATATAAATTTGAGTTTCGGCTGGAATAACGTAACCATTCAAGATTTCTTCCTTGGTATTCATACGATAATTAAGATCTACGGTTGGAAAGAATCGAGAAGTTTCTCGAATCACCGCCTCACAATAAGGAAGTTTGTTCAGATCTTCGAAAGTTAATTTTTGATCACGTGTAAATTTCGAGTCAATTTCTTCAAAGACACGTTTCTTTACTTCAGGGTATTGAGCCATAAAATAACTGACGAAACAGACCGAACCAGAAGTAGTATCGATACCTCCAGCAGCAGCTTCCATAAAGTTACCGACAATAGCATCATCCGTCATCGGTTCGGTATTCATATCATCAGTATTTTCAATAATACTTCTATCGGTATTAACTGTGATCAACATGGTAAGCATATCAGGAGTGATGGGTTCATCCAAAGGGGTGTTATTAATCTCTTCTCTTCGTTGAGAGACCAAGTTCAACAAATCATTGATCATATTATCACGTTCTTTAAGTAATTGTAAGGTTCTTTGATAGGATCCACCAATAGGAGAATGACGTATAAGTTTTGGTGTTAACAAGAAATAGATCAAACTATTAATAAAATCATCAACCCTATGAATGAATTCTTCTGATTCCTTTAATACGGTGGAATCAAAACCAACTTTTCCCTTTGGAGAAAGTTTATTGAAATAATTTGCCAACGCGTAAACTTTTTTATTTGCTGTGATTTGAAAGATAGTTTCCGTAGTGAAACGAAGCATCCATTGAGATAAATCCAACTCGAAGGTATCCTTTTCATAAAGTTCCTTCCAATAACGTTCCATCTCTACAAAATTTTCTTGGGTCCATACCAAAGTTTGTTTAAGAAACGTTGGAGCCATGATAGCACGCATGAAAAATTTACGATAGTACACCCACGTATCAAAATTTCTATTATATACAATTCCTTTTGTTGAAAAACCGTATTCATCTAATCCATCATTCGGGGGCGTACGATGAATGTAATTACTCGTTTGTATTTTTGTTGAATAAATTTTTTCTAGGAAATCCGCCCTGCTTAATACGATCCCTCTCGTTTTATTACTTGGATGACCAAGGTAAAATTCCCAAATATCACCATACTTTTTTTGACATTGTCTAGAGAAATGTGATATGTTTCCACAAATTTGATGATAGTTCCCGATAATTGGAAGTGGGATTGGACCAGGAATTGGATTGGGACGGGTGAAATACTTGAAATAAAAATGCGTCACATATGTGACGATTCCTAAACATATAGCGACAAAAACGCTTTGGGTATCAAGAGCCATCGTTGAATATTGTTTGGAAGGATTTTATTTTCTTGATTATTTTTTTTTTTTTTTTTTCTCTTGAAAAAAAGAAGACCGATTTTTATATTAAAAATTTGTTTTTCCCACGGGAACGTCACTTTCATTATATAATGATATCTTTAAAAGATCTTGAATACGAACGTGAAAATTGACAAGGTAATGAATATCAACAATAACTGGTTTTTAGAATTTCTATTTGTTCTTCACGTGGGATTTCATACGTTGTTTGTAAAATTAGATAATGGAAAACGGAGTTCATAATTTGGAACCAGTATAAACAAGAAATTATCGGAACAATCGAAAATTCCTCACGAACTTTAAATTTGGCTTTTTGTTTGTTGTAACGTTATACAAGTGATGTTTACATGTGATCATATTTAAAAGCCGATTGTTTATTACTTTAATCGACTAATCTTTTTTAGAAACCATGCTCCCATTGAATAACATTCATTCAAAACACATAAGGTAGAAATCTTTTCCGTTGACGAAAGTAAACATCCCATTCCTTGCCAAAATGACTTTTCAATACCTTTTCTTCATAAATGACTCGATTGTGAAGAACATTAATTAAACAAATAACTTGAAACGCTTTAAACCACAAACTTGATAAAATGTTACCCATCGTTGATGGAAAGTATACAGGAATATAACGACATAATTGAAAATTCATCTGTAATACCAAGATATATTTCAAAATAGCACCAGTATACTATTTGAATCAAGTTGATAAACATAAATGAGATTTTTTTTTTTTTTATCAAATTGTAAATAATTAAAGATCAAAAAAAATAATTACCGAAGGATGAACTAATAAAGAATATGGTCCTGTGGTGATCAATTTATGGTCTTTTTTGATTGTGACATCAAAGGTGAAATATTCTTTCAAAGTATCAAAACACCATAATCGTAGAAAGTATCCTAAGATATTACATAAATGACAAAAGATTTCCATTAGTTGCCATTCAGAAAATTTATGATTTTCATCAGGTAAGATCGGTATCGAACCAATTTCTTGTTGACACATAACGTAAAGGTAAAGGGATGTTTGAATTAAAATCAAAACTATGACTATGTTGGGAAAGATATCGGAAACAAAAATTCCTTTTATACTTTTTCTCGATAAAATATTTTTAATGGGATTAGAATTTGGAGGTGTCATCACTTTAACGATAAGACAAGTTTGTAAAATGATCGCAATGATCTTTGAATACATTTTTGAAAATTTTTTGAGAAATATGTCAGATAATAGAAAAAAAATTAAAAGAATAAAATGATAGGGGGGGAAAAGAAAATTTAAAAATTAAAAAAGTCCGATGCAAAAATTTTTTTTTTTTTATTTGAACGATTTATTTAAACAGTTGATTATCGATCAATTTGATCGATCTACTCAGGCGGACAATGATTTTTTCTTACGTCAGCAACAGTAGGTGCCCGATATCAGGATATTTTACATTTGTTAGACAAGAAGCGATTATTTTTTCATAGAATTAAAAAAAATTTGTTTTAAAAAAAATCTATAGATATGGAATTTTTCATTTTTGAGGCAATTTTTTTTTCAATTATGATTCCTAATAAAAATAAATTCATTTCCTTATTTCATTAGTGGTCAGCATCAAAATATTTTACCGATAATTCAGTCTTTTTAATAATGGAGGAACTTGCAAATGAGTCAATTTCCATTGGAAATGTAAAAAGTGGTTACTCTTGTAGATTGTACTTAACCGAAATCGTAAATGTCTTCAACTAAATATATCGATCATATTTGGCATAGCCCATTTCATAATTTTAAATATTCTGGAACATGGCGTCATGGTAGTACGTAAAAATACACTGTAATCATATTAAAAAAAAATAGTGGACAATAATGTTCATTTTGTATTGTCGATATCGGGATTTGTGAAAATAATCACCCATTCCCAATAATATTCAACAGGGGCAAGTACCGTATTCCTTCGAAATTAAGCACTCCTTTTTTGGGGTACTAACAAAATTGCTAAATTTTCAATCTCAGAAGCTATGTAAAAATGATAAATGCTTTATATTTCTAACACGTTTCTTTTAGGGGTCATATAAAAGAATCCGTAAAATAAGTTTCGCGAAAGTGGATATAATTTAGCGGTAATTCCGGGTGTGTTAACGGTGAACGATAATGACGATAATAGTAGCATTGATGGTGACGGCAATCATTAATAATGATGAAAGAAATATTGATGGCAAAGAATTCTTTTAAATAAAATAAATAAAAAACATTGAAATTTATAAAATATTTAATAAATCGGGTTTGTTTTAGCATTTATTTTATTTTCGGATACTAAAAAATGTGATAGTGCTTATGTTCGGATACTAAAAAAATAAGATAATGCTTATTTTCGGGGAGTGCCTATTTTCGGAGGAATACGGTATTATGAAATTCACTTTTGTGGACGCGAAACAAATTGTATTATCTAGACATAAAGAATGCCTTTCAACTAAGTATAAAAAAATAACGTTGTGTTGTGAAGAAGGCTATTTATGGCACGCATCTCTTGGTGACACCTGATGTTCATTTGGTCATCTATATAAACGCGAGCAATTATGTTGAGAAATTATTATAAAATATCTCGAGTCACCATCAAAAAATCATTAGAATATTTCTTGAAAACCCAACAGATTTAAAACTCGATATTCCTTACTATGAATGGCTTTGCTTTGAAGTCAAGGAGAACAGCACGAAAATTTTCACGAATTTTTTATAAAGGAGATTCCAAAAATTTTATCATACAACAAGAACGAGATCAACTCAAGAAAGAATTATTGGATTCTCCTAAGGTATGAATTTGCCTTCAACATTATCCTTTTACAACACTAACTTGCTTTCGAATTTATCATTAACTAAATATTATATACAGTAAATCGCCAAATTATTTAAGTATTACAAATATCTGTAAGACAAAGAGAATCGTCTAAAGTCTGAGTAAAATTAGTTATAATAACCTTTAACTTAATTATTTAAAATACTGAACCTGAACCTGATGATCTTACATCTATAGCGAAAAAAGATTATATATTATAATTCTAAATCATATAATATGCAATAAATATAATTTAATTCCAGTTTTTACTAAGGCTTTTTATTAAATAATTCTATTATAATAGAAATATTTATATTTTAACCTTTTTTTTTTTTTTTTTTAATTATCTTATTATCTTAATAAGTTGGATAATATAAGATTTAAATTTTTTTTAATTGATAA